ATGGAGTAGCTCACCCTGTTTCATACTTCTCTGCTAAGTTTAACCGTCACCAGTTAAATTATTCGACCATTGAGAAAGAAACTTTAGCACTCCTACTGGCATTACGACATTTTGATGTTTATGTTGGGGCAGTATGTTTCCTGTTACGGTCTATACAGACCATAATCCATTAGTTTTTCTGAGCAAAATATACAATCATAACCAACGCTTGATGCGATGGGCATTAATAGTGCAACCGTATAATCTGGAAATTCACCATAAAAGGGGATCTGAGAATGTGGTGGCTGATGCCTTGTCACGGGGTTAAGCTTTTTGATATTCAGAACCAGTTTATTCCCTCATTCCTCCAAAAGGATAAAAGTGTAAAAGGAGAAAACTGCTTCTGTTTTCAGGGGGAGAAGTGTCACGGTCAACGTTTTGTTTATTTGTGGGTATTGTGTATATATTGATTTGGTTAATCTCTTTCTCCCGAGGTTGAGCTCAGCCCCCACACACCTGCAGCTTGTTGAGTAAGGACGCTCTGGACTGAATATAAAGCAGAAGTTGCGCTTGTGTTGATGTGCTCTCCCTGTTCCAGCGTGTCCGCCACAGTCACTACCATCTGCTGTTGGTTAATTAATGTGACTCGTAAGCTGTTTTGCCATTAATAAATGGTTAAATTGATCTCCTGTCTTGCGCGTCCTTTTTATGTTGCTTAACCCCTTCCTTACCGAGTCTTGTAAAAGTGGGGTTCGTAACAAGGGTTGTCTAAGAATCTGCTCTCACGGCTGCAGCTAGTACAAAATACTGCAGCTAGATTGTTGACCAGCACAAGGAAGTGGTCCAGCATTTCTCTGGTGCTGGCTTCGCTGCACTGGCTTCCTGTTGATTTTAGAGTTCAATATAAAGTTTTGATAATGCTTTTTAAAGGTTTTTGCATGGCCTTGCTCCAGAGTATATTTAATGTCTGTTACAGCAGGAAGGTGTTGCTAGACCTCTAAGATCATCACAGAGTTTGCTTTTACATGTTCCCAGATCATGGTTGAAAACCAAAGGTGATCGAGCCTTTTCTGTGGCAAATCAATGTTGAAAACACACCTTTACTCTGTGGCATACAGTTGCCCCTAGCATTTGGGACATTGATCAGTGATGGATATTGTTGTGTTTTGTGTCGGTCTGAGTAATTTTTATAGTAAGTAATAAAAATTGTCTCGGTTACGTATGTAACCCTCGTTCCCTGAAGGAGGGAACGGAGACGTCACATCAGTGACCGACGAATTGGGATCTCGCTTAGAGAGACCAATCCACTTCGAGTGTAAACTAAACGAGCCAATGCACATTGGCATGCGATAATTGCATCCAGCTGCCGCTGATCACAGCGTGAGCATAAAAAGGCAGCCGGTGGAATGCATATCAGGTTTTCACTGAGGAGCCGAGCCGGTGACCCGGCCGCTCAGCGGTGGTACAGCAGCCGTGGCGATGGGACATGACGTTTCCTTTCCCTCCTTCAGGGAACGAGGGTTACATACGTAACTGAGACGTTCCCTTTCAGTCGGTCAATCTCAACGTCACGTCGGTGACCAACGAATTGGGATCCTTACCAAAGCACCATGGATGCTGCCCCTTCCAGTGTCCTGTGCGAGCCGCCTGCGCCCCTTTGTGGTGTAGGCCGGGGCTCGCAACAAGAATAGCCTTCGTGTGGAGCCGGTATCCTCCTGTGTTCTCACCTCAAATGGGTAGAGGTACTGAGAGGCCCTGGTTTAGTGTCGGCTTGTTAAAATTGCTCCAGAGTGTCCGTACTGTAGACCCTGTCAAGCTCCTCCATCCCCTCGGCAGCCAGACGTGGCGGAATGTCCGGCACTTCGGGAAGGATGGGGCTTCCGCAGCGTTCCTGTTCCAAGTGGAAGGCCACCGAGAAGACCACAACTCGACGAACAGGTTCCACTTCAAGGCATAAGCGTGTCTTATAGACGGTGCTCTCGCCCGAGGTGATGGTGTCAACTATCTCCTGGGGTAGGTCACCTAGAGCCTCCGCGTCCCATCCAGGGACCAGACATGAAGTTTCCAGAGGTCTGGACGCGGTGCCACAGGGTGCCCCGTCTCGGAGTCAGTAGATCCTTCCTCAGAGGAAACTGCCAAGGAGCGGCTGTCACGAGGAGCATTAGTTCCGGGAACCAGGTCCGAGTTGGTCAATAAGGTGCCATGAGCAGGACCTGCTCCTCGTCTTCCCTCACCTTGCACAGTGTCTGTGTGAGAGGGCTCACTGGGGGAAACGCATACTTGCGAAGGCCCCGCGGCCAGCTGTGTGCCAGTGCGTTCGTGCCGAGTGTTCCTTAAGTCAGGGAGTAAAACAACTAGCAGTGAGAAGTCTCTGGAGACGCAAACAGGTCTACCTGAGCGGCTCCGAAACATCTCCAAATCAGCTGGACCATATGGGGATGGAGCCTCCATTCTCCTGGGAGCGTAGCTCGTGACAGCTCGTCGGCCGTAGGGTTGAGCAGACCTGGAATGTGAATGGCACGAAGTGACCTCAGAACCTTCCAACTCCAAAGGAGGAGGTGGCGGGCGAGTTACGACATGCGACCGGAGTGCAGACCACCTTGTCGGTTGATGTACGCAATGCTTGCCATGTTGTCCGTTCGGACCAGCACGTGCTTGCCCCGTAAGCGCACTTTGAGATGGTTCAAGGCAAGGCGCACCGCTAACAACTCTAGGCAATTGATATGCCAGTGCAGTTGGAGGCCCGTCCATACCCCCGACACTGTGTGCCCGTTGTACGTGGCCCCCCAAGCCGGTGGTGGAGGCGTCCGAATAAACCACAGCATGCCTGGAGACCTGTTCTAGGGGCACTCCTGCCCGGAGAAATGCAAGGTCTGGCCACAGGGTGAAGGTTTGGGGACAGGCCGGTGTAACTTGGACCCGGTGAGTGCCGTGCTGCCACGCCCATCTCGGGACTCGGCCATGAAGCCAGTGCTGAAGCGGTCTCATATGAAGCAGCCCCAGCGGTGTAACTGCCGCTGCAGCTGCCATATGCCCCAAGAGCCTCTGAAATTGTTTCAGTGGGACCGCTCTCCTGCCCTTGAATGAATTCAAGCAGTTCAGCACCGACCGCGCACGTTCCTCTGTGAGGCATGCTGTCTGTTCGACCGAATCCAACTCCATACTAAGAAAAGAGATCCTCTGCGTCAGGGAGAATTTGCTCTTTTCCCAGTTGACTCGAAGACCCAACCGGCTGAGGTGCCTGAGCACCAGGTCCCTGTGCTCGCACAACTGATCCTGAGACTGCGCTAGTATAAGCCAATCGTCGAGATAGTTGAGGATGCGAACACCTTGCTCTCTGAGGGGAACAAGAGTCCCCTCCGCAACTTTCGTTAAGACATGGGGAGACAGGAACAGCCCGAAGGGCAGGACCTTGTACTGATATGCACGTCCTTCGAATGCGAACCGCAGAAATGGTCTATGGCGCAGAAGGATCGACACATGTACAGTACGCATCCTTCAGGTCAATCGCTGCAAACCAGTCTCGGGGACGGATGCACCCAAAGATGCGTTTCTGCGTCAACATCTTGAATGGTAACCGTTGAAGGGGCCGGTTCAAGCCAGATCCAAGATTGGTCGTAACCCACAGCCTTTCTTGGGTACAATGAAGTAAGGGCTGTAATACCCCGTCTTCATATCGGCTGGAGGGACCAGCTCTATCGCGTCCTTCGCCAGTAGGACTATGATCTCCGCACGCGAGACAGGAGCATCGGCCACCTTCACTGCCATGAAGCGGATGCCACTGAACTTGGGGGGATGCCGTTGGCGACAGAGGAGGATGAGTGTGGTCCGGTGTTGGTCCGTCCATGACTCTCTGTGCCCTCCTGGGACCCAAAGATAGAGAAAACTGCTCTTTTGTCGAAAATTTGGGTGCCATCGACCGTGAGGCCGACGGCGGGGGAAAACAAAACAAAAGATTCTCCACCCGGCCCTCCTCCGGGGGAGGGAGTGGTGCATTCACCATCTCCAGAAGAGCAGAACCCTCCACATCTGGGTCGCCCGTCTCAGGGCCGCTTGCTCTTCCGTTTACGGCCAGGTTTGACGGGGGCCTGGACGGGCGGGGCGGCCTGCCTACGCCCGGCTCCACAGCGCTGCTTGGCTGGAGGCTGCTGCGGATGCGGCGTGGGAGCAGGGGCGGACGCAGGGGGCCACCCTCGGCGACGAGCAGGCTGGAGCGCTGCAACCGGCGGAGGGGTCGAGGCAGCAGCTGCCCGCCAGGGCAGGATGTGACGAATCGCCTCAGTCTGCTTCTGTGCAGCCGAGAACTGCTGGGCAAAGCTCTCGACCGCGTCGCCAAAGAGGCCGGTCTGGGACAAAGGGCATTGAGGAACTGTACTTTGTCGGCGTCCCTCATGTTGGCCAGACACAGCCATCGCACGACCCAGAGAACTTGCTGTGACCTTCATCGCTCGGAGCGCAAGATCAGTGGCGTTTCGGAGCTCTTTCAGAACTTCCGGATCGTGACCACCTTCGTGCATGTCCTTAAGTGCCTTGGCCTTGTCCTGCAGTAACGCCATAGCGTGTAAGACCGGAGGCAGCTTCTCCACAAGCCGTATAAGCACAGCCGGTCAGACCAGACGAATGCCTGCAGGCCCGGGAGGGGAGCGACGGGTTTCCCCGCCAGGAAGAGGCGGTCTAAGGACACAACTGCATCGCTACCTATCGCTCCACCGGGGGGATCGCCGTATACCCCTTAGGTGCACCCCCGTCGAGGGTGGTGAGGGAGGAGGAACCAGCAGGTCGGTTTCTGGCAGTAAAAGGTGCCGTCCATGACCTGGTGAGCTCCTCATGCACCTCCGTGAAGAAAGGCACCGGGACGGGGCGCTCATCTTGAGCCGACATCTCCGGATCCGATTCAAGCATTGCCACTGTCCCGGAGGGCGGCAGTGCAGCTGAATCTTCCTCTCCAGAGAGCTCTCCCTCCAATGCAGTGATCGACATCCGGCCGTCGGGAGGAGCACCGTAGGATACAACTGGTATGCTCTTTGAAGAGGGCCCAGTGCATTCCTTTGGCAGCTCAACTGGTTGCGAAGCGCTAGAGGAACGATGGTCCCCCGAGGGTTGGTTCCCTGAGGGGTTTGCCACCACTGTAACTCTCAGACTGCCCGTGCTACTGCCCGAAGTAGTCCTCGCCTGGCTGCCGCCAGGACGAACACTAGCAGAGGCAACGGAGCTCCGCCCCCCTGGAGGAAACG